GGGAGCGCCCTGCGAGCCGCGCGAGTCCGGCCAGGAGGGGGCGGGCCGTGTCGCTGGGTGCACGAGGGAGGGGCAGGGCCGAGGGTGGGGGCGCACGGGGCTGCCGCGGCCCTTTTTAAGGGAGGCCCGGTGGGCGAATCCTTCCATTCTCTTCCTCATTCCCTGGAGGAGTGCTTGTCCAGGCTCTTCTCCCGCTGCGGGGCCGTTCAGAGTGTGCAGGTGTGCGAGAAGCCGGGGCCAGGAGAGAGTGCAGAAGTATTGAAGTCCAAATTCTTCAATCTCAGGAGGATTTTGGTAAAGCTTGCTGGAGATGGAGGAGAGGGATGTGAAGGGGGCTGGGGCTGTGGCCGTGGGGGAGCTCAGGCTGGTGCATCCTGGAGCAGGGGTACGGGATTCTCTGGTGTCCTCCCTTAATCGTCCCTTGCCAGCCTGCTGCTGCCTTGGACCTTGAGTCTGTGCAGCACCATCTTGCTCTGGGGCCTGCCCCCTCTGCGGGAGCCGACTGGCCCTGACCGGCCTGTGCGCTCCCTTCTCCCTAGGGATTCCGGGTGGCCTACGTGGTGTTCAAGAACCCATCCGGGGCCCAGGCAGCCACCTCCCTCTCCCTGCACGAGCCCCTGCTGATATCTTCAGAGAGTTGCCCTGTGAAAACTGGCATCCTCAGTAAGTTGCCTGCACTATCTCCAGGTCTGCCTCCATCAGCTAGAGGAGACAGTGTTGCCCAAGCTCTTTGTCCTCTGCCAAACCCCATAATGAGCAGAATGTTGCTGGCCTTTGCCTTTCTCCTCTTTTGTTTGGTGCTCCCTGTGTTTCTTGCCCTGTTAGGAAGACAGTTCTTGATATGGTGTTCCCCAGCTGGTCAGTACAGGGAGGTGGTGTGTGTACAAGGGGAGGTGAGGGGTTACATGTGGTGCCATAGTCACTGTGGAGACCCTCTCCCTGGCATCTTCAGAGTCCTCCTGGCTTGGAGGAGATACCTTTAGCTTGCCCAAGACTGGGAATAAGAGTAACTCCTGCTTCTGAGACATGGTGCATCTAGAAACCACTGCATGGCTTATAGATGGCAGTGCACTGTCTGCCTTGGAGCACCCTCCCAGTGGAGTCTGTGTAGAATCAGGTTCATACACGCTTCAGCCCCAAGACCACAGTCTTCTCCCCACTGCTGGGAGCAGCCTTGCTGTACAGAGTGATGTGACAAACTAATAAGAAGCCTCTCACAAAAAAACATGTTATATTGTGAGCTGTTGGGACCTGGGTGGCCTGTTCAGTGAAGTGTGGAGTCACTTGGCTATAGGAAAATCCAGCCTAATTCAGGTTGTCAGTCTTGCCATCGGATAGCCATTCATTGGCCTCTGTGAAAAAAGTGAGCAGGTCGCCTAGATCACGCAACAGCTGCCTGCTTTGCGCAAACCACAGTGGCCACATTTGTCATAAGCTGGTTCTGTTGCTGACACTTTGGCCTGAGGGTTGATGGGTCTGGAATTGCAGCCCTTCCCTGGTCCCCAGGGTTGTTCTCTCCAGGGCTGCAGTGAAGTGTGATGTCAGGGAAGGGCTATTACTAACCCCTTCCCTGCTTGTTTTAGAATGGATTTCCTGCTACGCTGCTTCACTGGTGAATCCAGAGGAGCTGAAGGCTGAAGTGGACACCTTCATGCAAGCCTATGACCAGAAGGTAGCAGAGGTATGGAGGCCTGATGACATACACTAGGCAGGCATCTCTCGGAAAGTCTCAGGAGCCGGTGGCTTTCTGAGGAATAATCACTGCTGCCTGGCCTATGTCTGAACAGAACAACTCATAGAGCCCCCTCTCTCCTCCTCCCCCTGCATATGTGTGTTGGGGCAGGAAGTCCTGTAAAACATACCATGCTGTCAGTCAGTATCTCAGTGCTTGGCTGGGCAGTAGCTATGATGGTTGAGTCCAGAGACTTGTATCCTCTGTTTTGGAACCCCTCCCTGTGACTTGTACTCTGACTACTCCACAAATGCACCAATTCTTGGGTGACCCAGTGCCTCTGAGCCACTACCATGCTACTGAGGGTGTAGAGTTTGCATCCTCATTTCCACAGCTTCCCCAAAATGCCTCTTGTGCCTTGTCACCGGGCAGAGCAGCGGGTGCTAGCATTCGTTCTGCTGTTGTGTGTGTGCTTGGAGAGGTGGCAGCTGGGAATGGAACCAACCATCTTGTGGTGGGTTCATCCGGAGCTGCTGCTGCTTTCTCCCACTTTCTCCCCACAATCTCCGGCTCCTTGTGTAGGAAGAAGCCAAGGCTGTGGAGGAGGAGGGTGTCCCTGATGAGGAAGGCTGGGTGAAGGTGACACGGAAGGGCCGAAGGCCTGGACTCCCCCGGACAGAGGCCGCCAACTTACGGGCTCTAGAAAGAGAGAAGCGGAAGAAGGTGCGCAAGGAGCTGCTCAACTTCTATGCCTGGCAGCACCGTGAGACCAAGCGGGAGCGTGAGTTGAGCCTCTTCCTGTCCTTCCCCATCTTTTTCTCTCCCCAGCATCCCAGTCCAAACAGCCCCTGTCTCATCTGGCTGCTTATCACCAGTAAGAGAACAGATGAGAGCTGTCAGGCAGCAATCAGCTAGCCCAAGCTGATGCTTTCAGCTCGGCCTATTAGGGTTGGGCCTGTTTGGGGTTTGGTGAGAGGCCCTCAAAGAAACCCAGTGTAGCGTTGACATGTCAGGTGGACGCCACCACCCCAAGTCAGGGTAGGAGCGAAGGCAAGTAGCGTGCTGAGGGGCAGTGGGCTCCTGCTTCAGTGGCAGAGCATAGAGCCCACAGTAGTCTGTAATAGCAGGTGCATGAGCCCCTGTCCACCCACATCTGAGCAGAAGTTCAATCTCTCCCTATTCCCATCTCTGTGGGGGGATACAGTTGGCTTCATGGGCCATGTGGAGGCAGTTATCTAAAGGTGAGGAGTAGACAGCACTGTGCTGTGACTTGATTCCTCTCCCTCCAGGACCCAGGGCCAGTGGGGTTTGTGCCCACTCAAGTTTTCCTGGCTGCTTGCACCAGGGCCGAATCTGCTCTCTGGTGTGCAAAGAGCTCTTGAGAGTAGCTGGAGTTAACACTTCTAGAGAAACTGGCTGCTCTCTGTCTCTAGCCTGTTGACCCCAATTCTTCTCCCCCTCCCCCCTGCTGCTTCTCAGACATTGCCCAGCTGAGGAAGAAGTTTGAGGAGGACAAGCAGAGGATAGCACTGATGCGGGCCCAGCGCAAGTTCCGGCCGTATTGAGCCACTCTATGGGCTGCAGCATCTTGGGACGTTAGCACTGCTGTGAGAAGTGCCTGGCAATGGCAGACCTGGGACTGCTCAGAAGTGCAGCAGCATCAACCCACCCACTTTGCTGCTACCTGGGCCCCACGGGGAAATCCCTAGTGTTTGCAAGTGAAGATCTGGAGGGTGAATCAGTGGCAGGAGGCTAGTGCCAGCTTCCAGTGCTAGCAGCCCAGTGTGGGTGTGCCCCTAGCCTGATACATGTGTGGGCTCTACCCTCTCCCATGTTAAATTTGATTGGGCCTCCCTGTATCAACCCTCCATGTGTGTCTTATTGCCCTGGTGACTCTTGTTTGCAAAGCAGGTCATAGCTCAGCCAGTGCCCCTGGGCCCACAACAAAGGGGCTGATGATTCTGTTCAGTCAAGGCCATGGAAGTTAATCATGATGAACTGTAAATAAAGTGCTTCTGTGTTTCTTAAGTGCTAAGTGCCTCTTATTTTGTTGTTGTCAGTGGGAGAGCAGCTCCCCACATGCCTGTGGGCAGGGATAATGGCAGTCACAGTGACTTTGTTGGCCAAAGATAAACTAGCATCCTTGCCCACCACAGGGAAGGATGTGCAAGTTCTGCTTTTTGGAGGTAGATGAAATAAGGGGTGCAAGGTGCAGATGGAAAGGAGAGGGAAGAGGATGGTTGTGAAGTAAAACCCATTTTACCTCGAGCAGTCTCTCCTGGACTATTTCCAGAACCAGGTGCTAATAGCAGGAGGACTGTGCCAGCAGGCATCTCATAGATTCATAGATGTTAGGGTCGGAAGGGACCTCAATAGATCATCAAGTCCGACCCCCTGCATAGGCAGGAAAGAGTCCCCAGCTAGATGCCTATTTAACCTCCTCTTGAAGACCCCCAGGGTAGGGGAGAGCACCACCTCCCTTGGGAGCCTGTTCCAGACTTTGGCCACTCTAACTGTGAAGAAGTTCTTCCTAATGTCTAGTCTAAATCTGCTCTCTGCTAGCTTGTGGCCATTATTTCTTGTAACCCCCGGGGGCGCCTTGGTGAATAAAACCTTACCAATTCCCTTCTGTGCCCCCATGATGAACTTATAGGCAGCCACAAGGTCGCCTCTCAACCTCTTGCAGAGGCTGAAGAGGTCCAAGTGCCCCAGTCTCTCCTCATAGGGCTTGGCCTGCAAGCCCTTAACCATACAAGTGGCCCTTCTCTGGACCCTCTCCAGGTTATCCACATCCCTCTTGAAGTGCGGCGCCCAAAACTGCACGCAGTACTCCAACTGTGGTCTGACCAGCGCCCGATAGAGGGGAAGTATCACCTCCTTGGATCTATGCGTCATGCATCTGCTGATGCACGATAAAGTGCCATTAGCTTTTCTGATGACTTTCGTCACACTGCCGACTCATGTTCATCTTGGAGTCCACTAGGACTCCAAGATCCCTTTCTGCTTCTGTTCCACCAAGCAGGTCATTCCTAGGCAGTATGTATGCTGGACGTTTTTCCTCCCTAGGTGCAACACTTTGCATTTCTCCTTGTTGAACTGCATTCTGTTGTTTTCCACCCATGTGTCCAACCTTTCCAGGTCTGCTTGTAGTTGTTCCCTGCCCCCCCAGCGTGTCCGCTTCTCCCCAGTTTTGTGTCATCCGCAAACTTGGACAGAGTACACTTCACTGCCTCGTCCAAATCGCTGATGAAGACATTGAAGAGTATCGGTCCAAGGACTGATGTGAAGGCCTGAAGTACAAGAGTACCTCTGTTGCCTTTAGGACCCTGAATCTACCATTGAGGCTCAACAGATGGTCTCAGATCTGCTGCTCAGCTGCTGCCTGTCTCTCCCATTCAGAATGTGCAAAGTTGCCCAAGTGCCCAGGCTGCTTTGCTGTGTAGAGCTCTAGCAGAAGCAGAGACCCTAAGGTGTAAATTGTCCTGTAAAATGGGAAAGCTCCTGCTCTACCACTGGGACCTGATTCTGTAGTTGTGCTTGGGGGGGGGTCCTACTTCAGCTGCCTCACAGATTATCCTCAATGCCCTTGTGCCCCAGGCACTTCCTTGGGTTGGGAGTTCAAGTACCTGCTGTGAGGGGGCCAACCAGGGATTTGAACCCAGGCTTGGAACCTCAGGGGAGTGGATACGTAGTGGTGAGGTGCTTGGTGCCCAATTCCAGGAATGATTCCATGGCTGAAACCCTGTGTAGATGGAGCAGTTTAGGGACTTAAGCCTCCTTCCTCTGCATGTTGCCCCTGGCCAGCTAAATGGCTCCTTGCTCTGCTGGCACCTCACTCCCACTGTGCACTGGTCAGAGATCCAGGAGATAGCAGTGTTCCTGGGACGTGCTGTCTCCATCTTTGTGCCCTCTGGACCAGGTTAATAATTGGAGAGTGCATAACACAGTTCTGATAACTGATGTAGATTTTTGGGGGACTATGTGAGTAATCCCTGGAAGCACAAAGAGAGCCCTTTTCACACTGTCGCTGAGTTCAGCTTCTCTCCCCTCTGCCCCAGGAGCTGCCTGGTACTTGCTCCCACAGGGAAGAACTGTAGCTGCAGACTGGACAAAGGCACTGGAGCAAAACGCTATGGGCTGAGATTAAAGAGAGCGAGCAGCGATGTGCAGTGAGGGGGAACCATGCCACTGCAGGGTTAAAGCTCTTCCCAGAAGCTATGCACAGCAGCTGCTGCGACTGGATTTGCTACTGTGCACACCAGAGCTCTCCTGGGATTTATGAGCCAGTTGGTTTTTAAGTTCTATAGCAATGTAACTGACCTGAGATTTGATCAGAGAGGCCACCCCTGCTCCAAGCAGCATGTTACCTCACCATCGCCAGAAAGGAAGGGGACTGCGAACGCAGAAGGACTCACAGCACAATGAAGCCTTACCTAGAGTTGACAAGAGACTTGCAGCAAGTTCTTTGATCTTGTCCAAGACCAAGCTGGAGTATTAAAGCAGATTCTCTTATTGTGAAAGACCAAGTTACCTTTGCAACTTTTCCCAGAGTAACTTTATACTGCCCCATGCACAACTTGAGCATCATGCTCCTGAGTTAAGGTTTGCTGTCCTCACAACCCTACAAGGGGTACCATGTACCCACAGGTACACTGAGCAGAGGTGTCAGCAAGCCACATTCTCAATCACTCCTGCTTAAGACACTAAAGGAAACAGGTGAGAAGAAGCATCTGAATAGTATTAATGCTGCTTTTGGGCAGGGGTTGTAGTGCGATCAGCCCTGCCATGTTGGACAAGATCAGAGAACTTGCTGTAAGTCTCTTGTCAACTGTAGATAAAGCTTCATCCAGCTTGTGCTGGAAGTCCTGCCTGGACCCTCCCAGGCCTTTCCTGAGCATCATATCAGTAAAATGGGGAGGGAGAGGTTGTTCCCTTCTGTCAGAACAGTGCAGGAGGTAACAGACATGTGAACCTTACATCTGAAAGCTGCTGAGCCCACAGCTTGGCTCCTGCTGCAATGTACTAAATGGAGGCCAGAAGAGAAAACCTTTCTCCTCACCCACTTTGAATAGAAGGACAGTTTGGTTCTTTCCTGGGAACATCCATCACACCTATTTGCTTAGAGACATTCTTTCTGCCAACCCAAATAGCTGAGATTGGGAAAGAGATGAAAATATAATTTAATGAGCAAAATATCAGGGCATTACCAGGTAAAAGTGCTGTCGCCTCCAGAGACTGGCTCTGGAGCTCCTCATTCTCTTATGTCACTACTGCCAATCTCCCCTGGGAGCTCAACCCTGATGCTACAATCTAGCTTTGGAGTCCTTGTCCTTCTCTAAGAAGACACTGATGATCCCAGCCACTTCCTCAGGCTCATTCAGGTGGACAAAGTGATTCCCCGGCACCTCCACCAGCTGGAAACTCTAGAAGGAGAGAATGTGGAAAGATGCAGGCTGAAAAAACGTGCTGCCATAAGCAGCCAGCAAGGTAAGTGCTGTGGCTGGGATATGTATCGTAAAAGAGAATTGGGTAAATCCCACGCAGAATAAATTGGTAAATATAATCCAATCTCATGGTGTGAGGCTATGAACTGACTGATAGGTGGCAGCCCTTCTCTGTCCCCGTGTCCCCCCCGTCCCCCTCCAAGCTGCTCATCCTGCATTAAACTGCAACATCAGACACTGGTAGATGATTGGAAATGTTGAAGTCCTTAACTCTACAGGCAGTTGCTAACTGGGGAATTCAGCAGATGGAGAGAGGCCAGCCTGCTCCTTCCCTGACTCAGGGTTTGTCACACAGGGAAATCAGTCTGAGACAAAGCAGGGAGAGAATCCAAGATAATGTAAAGCAGGGGTTAGCAGCCTGCTAGCTGGATCCAGCCCATGGAGCTGGAGGTTTGGGCAGCGTTCCAGCAGCTAGGAGTTTCGCTCATGCTGTGCCTGGGCGATGGGGAGAAGCAGTGGTGTCGGCAGCAGCTGGATCCTAGCCCCAACCTGCCTTGGACTGGAGCTGGGTCATTCAACCCGCCACTAGGAAACGTCACCAATCATTACTATAAGCATTTTGGAACGGCAACCTGTGTAGAGAACCTTGGAACACATGCATGCCAGAGGGGGCTAGTCCAGCTAAGGACCAGCTTGTGTGTGGACAAGCTCTCAGTGATGGCGAAGGGCAGGGTGCGCGCTCTCACCTCTCTCAAGTTAGACTTGAACGCATCCTGCAAGGGTTTTACAAAGTTCTTGCTTTTATCTGGATCTTCATGAGAAAAAAGCCCATCCTTGGCCCTAAAAAGCAAGAACAAGGCTCAGTGTCATGCACAGTACACCCTGTCTCTACAGGCCTTACCTGTTTTCCTTTCCAGAAGATGACAGTCAGAGAAAAGGAGATTGATCATGTTTGCCCTTGCTCCCACTCAGCTGGGGGTCATCAATGGTGGTGGGTAAAAGAGAGGGGTCACAGATTCACCAAGTGGAGTGAGGGGCATAACAGCCATCTCTGCATGGGTTTTATATTAAAGCATATTATATAGCATCTATAATATTCATGTATATTATCTAGCAGCCCATGTATATTCTGAACCCAGGTAAAAGAAGGGATTGATCACTGTGCACAAGTTCAGCTAATCACTGCCCTTCCCAGGACCTAGTTCTATGAAATTCTAGCTCTTAGGAGAGCTGAGCCAGCGAGTCTTTGAAAAGGGCCTAAGCCCTAAAAACACACTCCACTTCTGACTGGCTTCACCCATCCAGCTCCTCCATCTCTCCTGAGTGGCTTTATTTTTCCTTTGTGCCTCTATGTGTGTTTTTACATCAGCCATAAAACAGGCCATTGTGCTTTGCCCTGTGGGACTGTGAAAGCAGTCACTCAGGAAGAGATAAAATTAGAGGAGGTGGGGAAACCACGCAAGTACTTTTTTCTGGTTTCAATTTACAGGCTGTGGCAGTCCTGGATTTCTGCCACATGGTGGCACATGCAAGACTATAAACCTACAATCACCCAGGTTTTCAAGATGGCATCTTTAGAAATTG